ATGAGTTATTTATATGCGCAAAGGCAGAACATACCATACAGAAAACTCAGATCAAACAACAATGACCCTAAATGGATAAATAATTATTTCAAGAATATTATTGGACAAAGGAAGGCTATAGGTAGAAGAATAAATCGCGGTGTAGTTTACCTCAGAGATTATTATAAGGTATTGGCCGGTAGGGTTAAGACCGAGATAAGAAAAGCAAAGAGGAATAATGAACTGAAGGTAGCAAGGGAGGCAAAGTCAAACCCCAAGGGTTTCTTTCAAATGTACCAAACTAAAACACGAGAAAAGATTGGACCAATACAGTCAGATACCGGAGAACTAGCTGATAACGACGGAGAAATGAGCATTATCTGAATAAATAATTTTCAACAGTATTCACCACCGAAAATTTAAATAAAATGATACCCGAAGCACCGACTATATACAGAGATAGTGAAGAAAATAGATTAAGCGAGATAGTAGTGACTAGTAACGATGTTAGTAAGCAAATAGACAAGTTAAAGCCTAATAAGTCCCTAGGTCCCAATGAGATACTTGCCAGAGTATTAGCATGCCCTTGGCAAAGTTGTTTAACATGTCCTTTAAAACAGGTGTAGTATCAGAATCCTGGAGGATAGCGAATGTAATACCGATTTTCAAGAAGGGAGATAGATCACTATCCTCTAACTACCGTCCAATCAGTTTAACATCAATTGTAGGCAAATTAATGGAAAATTATTTCAAACTCCATTCGAAATCGCCTGGAGAAACACAAGTTTATCAATGATTCCCAACATGGTTTCACAAGCGGGCGTTCATGTCTAACTAATCTATTAAAAATAATTTCAGTTGTTTTCGAATCAGTGGACGAGGGGCATGAATTATGATGTGGTATATATCGAGTTTAGCAAAGCCCTTGACAGTCCCCCACGAAAGACTAATAAGAAAAGTGAAGGCTCATGGCATTGAAGGAGATATTCTAAAATGGATTAGGGCATGGTTACAGGACAGGGAACAGCGAGTGAGCATTAACGGCACTAATTCCGATTGGAGGAACGTCACTAGTGGAGTACCCCAAGGCTCAGTACTTGGACCATTATTATTTATTATATACATAAACGACATAGATATCGGCGTAGACAGAAACATAAGTAAATTTGCTGATGACACTAAAATGGGGCGTGTAATTAAATCGGACGAAGATTCCGCAAAACTACAGGAAGATCTAAAAAAAAATTTCGAATGGTCTGAAAATGGCAGACGAAATTCAATGTGGACAAATGTAAAGTACTCAGTGTAGGAGATGTAAACAGAGAAACCAGATACCAGATGAACAACGATGTTATAGAGAAATCCGACTGCGAGAAAGACTTGGGAGAAATAATAAATAGGAAATTTAAGCCAAGTAGACTGTGTATTTGCTCGTAACAAGGTTAATAATGTACTTGGGTTCATACAAAGGAGTGTTAGTTACAAGACTAGCCAGGTCATCCTAAAACTATATCTTGGGCTTGTGAGACCTCACTTGGATTACGCAGTTCAGTTATGGTCACCGTATTACAGAAAGGTTATAGAATCCCTAGAAAGAATTCAGAGGAGAATGACAGGACTAATCCTGGGCATTAGGAACCTTGGGTACAGAAACAGGTTAAAGCATCTTAATTTGCACTCCCTCGAGAGACGTAGAGTGAGGGGCGATATGATGGAAGACAGTGATCAAAAAGGGTGATATTACAAAGGAACTCAAACTATCCAACCAGGAGCGAACTCGTAACAATGGTTTTATATTAAACAAATTTAGATTTAGGCGCGAAATTGGTAAACACTGGTTTGGAAATAGAGTAGTGGATGAATGGAACAAGTTACCAAATGTCATCATTAACTCGAATACACTGGATAGCTTCAAACATATGTTGGATGGATATATGAGCAATAGGGGTTGGGTGTAAATGGGACTGCCCAGTATGGGTCAATAGGCCCGCTGCAGTTTCCTCCATTCTTACGTTCTGTTCTTTTGTTCCGAAACGAAATTGTTACTTTTGATTATGTAGATATCCTTGTAGTGAGGATGAGTCGGTAGAGGGACTTCAGGAATGGGGCCGAACATGGCAAAGGGAGCAGGAGCAGCGCTTGAATAGGTCTTGACCCTACGGTGGTCAAGGATGTGTGTGTGTGTGTTTATTCATCTATACAATTACCTACGAAAATGGTTGAAGTCCACAACACACACACACATCTATCTATTAATCACACTTGCCTCACCCTGACAACAGGAAACATGCGGGTTTACTTTGTCTGTAGTTGGCCGACCGATTACAGTGCATAATACACACGTCGTGTACAGTATCAGAGAGAGTATGACGGAGTAGTCGATACGTCTGCTAAGTGTTTAGTGATGACGAAATTGTTATTTGGGCTGAGGAACCTGATGTATGAAGACCGCGTGAGAAAGCTGAAAATCCCATTAACGGCGTACCACAGAATAATTACACAGCTTCATATAACACGCACTACAGATCTTCAAGGTTAGGCCCTAAAGGCACCTCCTGACATCAACAACTTAATACTTGCTCTCTACTACATGGTTCAGCACCCCTTTAGTATGGGAAACTGTTGATAAAGTTATATCTTCTTTTTTAAACTAAAAACCAGATTTGAGAAGATGTATATGAAATCACTTAAGAAAAACTTACGTTGTAGTGCCAGTCGTCTCAAACCAGTTGAGAAAAGTTGTAATAGCTAGTGTGTTCAATACGAACTGAAGTTCTAGGGCTATTGTGAGAAGGTGAATCAAGCTACTAAGCTAGTAGGTTTCATAAGGTCGTTCAAGTATCTAGTCGTGAGGTGTTTCCCAGTCTGGAGTACTGTCACTCGGTCTGGTCCCCGAGATATGTTAGAGACTGTCAACTGAGTTAAAACGTCCGAAGGAGGGCCGCCAAACTGGTGCCTCCTCTACGGAACCCCAGTTACCCAGATTAGAAGGCCTGCAACTTCTTAGCTTATGCTACAAACGGGCAAGGGGTGACCTATTGAAGTTTGTAAACATCTCAGAGGGCACTACTCAGACGAGTGTCCATACCTGGAGCTGGCGGACGTCCGGCCCACAAGGGGTCACAGCTCAAGGTTGAAGAAGCCACAAGTCCAGAAAACTGTGAGGGCAAATTTTTTCGGAGTGATAGTTGTGAACTCTTGGAACACTCTACATGTATCATCGAGGGTTGTGACGGCACCGAGTGTGAGCTCTTTCAAGACCAGATTTGACCAACACTGGCGCAGGTAAAGATACATTCAGGAGTCGGTGCATGCCCAGTACTTGCCCAAGTGGCGAAGAGGATAAAAATAAAAAGCAAAAGTAATAACATCTCTGGTGTTCCCTGACCAGGACTCTTGGCGTCCCTTTTATATCATGTGAACACGATCCCCGAGCTAAGCCAGGGTGGGATTCACAAACCAAACCACTAAGGTTTTCAAATCAAATACTTTTTTGCAGAATACACATTTGAACAGTTAAAGAAATTAAAATAAAATGCAGTATGTGTATTTCCTCAACAAGAGACCTGTTCATTCAAAATGTGGACTAAAGTATGAAAAGCAACTGTTTTATTTTTATAAAGTATACACGATGTTTACCATCTCACAATACATATTTTACTTTGATCATTTTACATATGTTGAAGTTTGTTAATGATGTGCCACGTGATATGAAGATAGACCGCGATAGAAAGTAAACAACGTAGCAGCTTCGTGAGCTCTTTTAACACTTGGTATATAATAGCATCATATGTGTTGCTCATTCGGCTATAGACTGTAGTGATAGTTGACAACAGTCACTGTTATAGCCTGTATGACTTGCAGGTAACTGGGTGAGTGGCGTGGACGTGCTCGGGTGCCCTGCCTGGAAGTTACTCACACACACATTCCCGTAACTTGCCCTCACTCCCAAGTTGTTTTTTCTGCCAGTCTTAATTAAACCGAGGGAGCCGCACTAGTGGTGCTCCTGAGAGGGAAAGTCACACGAGCTGGTTATCTCACGACCACCTGAGTGACACACCACGCAAGGGGGTAGTATGTATAACCCTTGACGGGGGAGAATATGACTTGCCAGTCAGCGAAGGCGGCGGAGCTTGCACGTGGGAAACGCTATCATGTAAATCATCTATTACCGCAATGGTGAATAAGTAATAGCAATTCTCTTATCTACGCCCGAAGGACAAGAAAGTCTGCAATCACTACATAGGTTGGTTGTGCCTGTTTGCGTACGAAAAAGATTTATCAGTGTCAGTCAAAGGTTAAGGTTACAGGAGGCCAATGGTGTGCATCGGACGGGCGAAACAAATGAGAGATGTCTCTACCTATGTCCAGATAAATCCGTTACTGCAGTACTGCAAATCGCAAAAGTTACGAGTCACTGTCTCTATATAAATATTCAACTACCTTCAAAGGCGATGACAACACCTGTAGCTCAACTGATGTTATTTTCATTTGTAAAGCGCCACTTGTCTAATTTGTCGTTGCGCCTTTCATTATTTGACTTCAATGTTAATTACGGTTTTATTCATGACTATATTCTTTTATTGTACAATATAATAGCAAGTTCTTTCGTGTGCAATAACCAGTAGTTATCTTCCTTTGTATGTATAATCATATCAATGATGTATAAGCCAGATTCTCATTAATAGGCTTTATTCAGCAAAGAACATAATTACCTGTAACAAAAGAAAAAATCCACGTGAAAACAAAATAGAAATTTTTTTACTCGGTTACACAATAACAATCATGACAGTCTTCTTTATTATAATGTAGTATATAGTTAGTTGCAGTGTATAAATCAAAATCATTACAATCACCATCTACAAATGTGGGTTGTATTAACACACTGGCAGCCTTCTGTCTGAAAAAAATATTCGTTATGTATAAGTTATATTGATCATGTAGCGGTAATTTGTATGCGGGCACCAGTACACTCAACAAGTCACCCCCTGCATCCTCCGGAGCCTAGCCTCGCACTCAACAGCACACAGTCACAGACACCAGTCTAATGGAACACCGCCACACCAGCAGGGTCACACTGTGAGTGATAGAGGTCTTCATTTTTTTTTATTCTCAGTAGCATCAGAGATAAGAAATGTCATCGCAGCGGTGGTCCTCTTAGTTTTAAATATTTGTCAAAGAGAAGTGATTCTCCAGACACCTTGCCATATTCATATTTTCTTGGTTACAGTTTCACTCTGTTGGTTGTTCACCTTACAGCCAAGTATTTAGGTACGTATAAAAACTGTTGAATATTTTACTCTCCATTTCATCCCCGGGTTGCCTCACCTAATTAGTACAGTACTGTAAATACAATTAAGCTGTTTAATTCCCATGACATCCATATCAGTAGTCATAATAATGCCTCAAATTAGTCTCCAAATAAGTTATTGTTGAGAGGTACAGAGGTCGCTGATGTGTTTGGAAGGTATTGCCTTGACCTGCCTTACTTCCAAAGTCAGGCTTCTTTCTCACACAGTCTTTTTTTGTCCCACGACAACCTAGACATCAATGGACGTCCGCATGAAAGATCCCATTGACCTCCATTGATTTCTAAGCCGCGCGACAAAAAAAAACCGCTGGATATGAAAGAGGTCTGACAACCAGGTAGACAAGAGTTCATGGCACACCCAGGCCACGATACACTCACTGATATACTAGATAAGCAACATTGTGTGTGAATGATTGAAATATAACAACAGCACCCATTACTGTTGTAATATAAAGGAATTATCTTCCTTAGTTTTCAAGGAAATTTTCAAAATTTTATTCAAAGATTCAGAGGCTAACATTTGCGAGAAAATTAGTAAATTGGCGGTATTTGGACCATTTTCATGTGAACATGAAGGTAACCGTCTTATTGAATGTGTAGCTGTAGATGGTAGGGGAGTGTTTTACGAACTATAGTCCACCATTTAAGAAATCAACATAGACGTTGTGATATTCACAAGATAAAGCTGCAATAGCCGATACGCTAATCCAATAGTTTGAGATAATACTATCTGGAATCTAAAGATGTTACAAATCCTCTCTTAAACACATAGCAAAGCAAATCCTTATGACTATGCTGTGTTATGAAGCGTGAAAACCAGAATCCATATAAGTAGGCCTACATAAATTGATGTGTAGTGGGGGGAGTTGAAAGCAAAGAAACCCTAGTCGCCTTTAAGTGAAGTCTCCGGCGGACACCGTCAGTTATTGATATTTTCAGCAAAATTATACAAAACTAAATATTCTTTTGCAAGTGGATACGTTGGTTCTGGGTGTTTGTAAGAGGCATATCTTCCCAGCTTTGGCCGATGAATATTAAAACCTGGCGAATTATATAATGAAAGCGTAACCATCAGTTAGTATGCCTGACTAGATACAAGCTTCGAGTTTTTCAACGAATAATATATTCCCAGTTCCGAAATAGTCAGAGATACAATACAACTTGAGACACCCAGAGCTGCTAAGACACCCCACCCCCCACCCGCGTTCCTCTCATTCCCAGACCTCCATAAAATATCTCTTCCTTTAAATCATCTCTTTAAAAAAATTCCATTGTCTAAGTATTAATATTTTTGTAATACCTACTTTATATTCCTGCTTTTATTTTACCACCAAAACCATTATATTATAAATTATCATGTCGAGAGATAGAAATTACCATTGCAATAATTATATTTGCCGACTAGACATGATACTGACAGCTCTGTCCACTTGTTCCACCTTAATACAACCCATGTTGTACTGCTTCCCTCCCTTATCATATTTATGCATATCAACACCACTTTAAAATATGTATATACTTATAATATAAATGTAAAAAATAAAGAAAATAAATAAATAACGAAATGATAACCTTGGTAACATTCTGATATGTTCTTACTACTATTCCAGATGATACTAAATGTTAGGTAATACTCCCTTGAGTTAAATGTACAGTATTATTAGTTGCCTTCAAGAAAGCTAAGGCTCTCAACTGGCTCAGCCATGTTAATATTGTTATTATATCGAATCTGTATCTGTGTTTTTCTGGCTAAATAAACTGTTTCAATATCATATCATCTGTTTAGGAGGTGCGTAGATGAGTGCGTTTGATGGCTCAACTTTCCGTGATGTATTCGCCAAAACTTGGGAAGATAGTTGTTTCTTAGACTGTACACGCATGGCTGATTTTCATATTCGTGCTTCTAAGAACATATTAACTGTGTGCACAGGTGTTTCCTGCCTCACAGCAGTGGTAGTAATGCACTGACCATTCCTGTGGTGAGGAAGTCACCCGCAGGAGGTAGTACTGTAGGTAGTAGGCAGTTGGCAGCTACCAAACAGGGAGGTACTACCGCCTGGGAAGAATTTTGGAAGCATAAAGTGTTGTCTAATGGTAGACCCTGCTGCCATATGGCATCACAAAAATTGTGACCAAGTCCCAGGTTACTGATCTAACTTTGTGCCTCATTTACACACGATTGCAGGGTCTCAATTGTTTCTCACTCTTGATCTTTTTTTTTATTTCCTTATTATTATTATTATTATTATTATTATTATTATTATTATTATTATTTATTATTATTATTATTACATTTTCGCCACCCCAGGCCCCGATGTGGGTCGGTGACCTGTGCCCGGGTGGTCTGATCCCCGTAAAGAAAAAAGAAAAACACTGTTGCTTCACTCATTCGCCGCCGCCACCTTCTGACTCTGATTACCTTTCACATAAAAATCCCATGATGACACGCTCAAAAATTGCTATAAGAATCTGTGGCTTAAGTGTTAAAAGAAAGTATGAATTATTGTCAGACATAAATACGCGGTTAACAGCAATTATTATTGCTTTCACTTGGGGCTTTGATGTCTCGGGCGTTTTGCTTTAAATTTTGGAGTGACTATGAAATGTCTAATTACTTTTGCAAATATTGGCCCTTGTTAATTTTCTTCTCCCTCCTCCTCCTTTTTTTTCTTCCTCGATTCACACTTGTAAATCACTTAGAACAGGGGTGCTCAACCCATGGTCTGAGGGCCACATATGGCCCTCAAGGAGATTTAGTGCGGCCCTCGAAATTATTAGGAAATTACATAAAAATGAATAAATAAAGGCTTTATTTTATTTTTTAGGAATTAATTTGAAAATTTATATTCAATGATAAAGCCTTTGTGTAATTACCATTCATAATTTGACAAGGTTAATGCTTAATAATTACTTTTATTAATGTGTGGATTATTTACTTAATTTTTCTAAATTTATTCACATTAAAGTCAATGTGTGTGGCCCTCATCACACATTTGGCTATCTAATTTGGGTCACGTAACGCAAAAAGTTTGAGCACCACTGACGTAGAAGGAAGACGCATTTTGATCATTCACATTATTTAACCATTTTTTAATCCTCGTTTACAGTAGTATACCGTATACAAAAAAATGATACAATTTATAGCTTTTCGTAAGATGTTCTACGTAATAGAATTCAGGGCGCTTAATTAATTGTCTGTGCGGCTAATTTATAGTAAAATATTACCACTTGACTAATACCAAATCTCACTAATTTTCTGGCTTATGAAAATCTGAGTTAACTGCTAAAACACACTGTAGTCCGTCCCCTGATAACCGATATATTCTGCCTTTACACTCTCTAGTCTAGTCAGTCTAGTGTTTCCCGGGTCTCCCAAATGCAATAATTTATAAGAGAACAGACCCAAATCGCTATAGCTGTTTCACTGCAAATTGTGTTCTATTTTATATTCCGAAAAAAAATCCATACAAAAATATTAAGATTTCCCCTTTACAGTACTCAAAGACACGATTATTCTGTGTATTATTAAATTTCTTTCACAAAACATCAAAAATCATTCCCGAATGACATGCTTCTTATATCTTATTGCACCCACACACCTATATATTTTTCGAATATGAAGGCACATATATTTCGTAATATTTTCTTTCTCTCTCTGAAATGTTCACAAGCAGAGACAAGCACGCACGCATCCAGGCTGCTTGCACTAGTGACTCCGCGAGGGAATATTCTCGGAGACGAGAACCGACCCGATAATTATTTCAGCGTGGGGTGTGAACAATTACGTAACAGTGTGGACGAATGGTTGCACACACCTCGTGTACCTGTGAGACTTTCTCCACTCACAGATTACAAAAGGTAATCATCAAAATGAAGTGTCTGTGTGATTGTGCGATGGCTTGTGTAGCGACAGTTAGGTGTGGCAAAAATCATACGAGATAAAAGTAATTACGGAAAAATATTTGTGTGTGTGTGTGTGTGTGTGTGTGTGTGTGCGTGCACTGAGTTTGACCCCTCCTCGGGGAAGAACACAACACAACAACACCAACCTCATAATCACATCCAAAGAAACACTCGCGACAAAATTAATGACCTGAAAATCAAACATCACAATACTAATGAGAGACGTGAACTCTTTGCTGGAGAGTTTTGGGACGGCACTGAGCGTGAGCTCATTCAGCACCAGGCTTGACCAACACCGGCGCAGGTACGGATACATTTTGGAGCCCGTACCTGATCAGTACTTTCAACAGTGCGTAACAGAGAGGTGACTGACCACCCAGTGGCTAACAAGCAGATCAGTGGCGAAGAGGATAAAGTGCAATCATGGCGGTTGTAGTGATGATGATGACAACCAGATACTATTTACGTTGTGTGACAGTATCGTAAAATGTTCTACTTTAAGACATAAGATATGAAATTGTGCAACTCAGCCAACCTGGTCTGCTGTGTGAATATCGACAATCATATAATTTAACTCAAGACGCAAAATATGTAAATTTAACCCTTTTACCATTTATCCACAATAACTTGAGCAACAATTATGAAGTCTTTAATATTTCAGTTTAACCAAGGCGAAGTTAGGCTCGGGTTAGTTACTTGGATTACCTTATATAGACTTACGCATAGTCTATTACAGTTCGGTTAATTTAAAAAAAATGATAGGGGCAATAAATTACATGTAATTCATATTCGACAAAAACCCCGTCAATCGATTTCATCTATTAAAATAAATACCACACATACACAAATATACATTTAAAAACGC